AGGAAGAATGAAAGCAGGTGGAGGAGGAAGATTAGAAACAGGTGTAGGAGGAAGAATGAAAGCAGGTGGAGGAGGAAGATTAGAAACAGGTGTATGAGGAAGAGTGGAAACAGGTGTAGAAACAAGACTAGAAACAGGTGTAGGAAGAAGAGTGGAAACAGGTGTAGGAGGAAGACTAGAAACAGGTGTAGGAAGAAGAGTGGAAACAGGTGTAGGAGGAATACTAGAAACAGGTGTAGGAAGAAGAGTGGAAACAGGTGTACGAGGAAGAGTGGAACAGGTGTAGGAGGAAGAGTAGAAACAGGTGTAGGAAGAAGAGTGGAAACAGGTGTACGAGGAAGAGTGGAACAGGTGTAGGAGGAAGACTAGAAACAGGTGTAGGAGGAAGACTAGAAAGAGGTGTAGGAAGAAGCGTGGAAATATGTAAGAGGAAGATAAAAAAAACGGGACTAGGAGGAAGTGGAAACAGGTGTAGGAGGAAGAGTGGAAACAAGTGTAGGAGAGAAATCAATATCAGGTGTAAAAAGCCCATATCAAGCAAGTTTTGAAAAGACCAAAAATAGGTGTAACGACATAGCTATTGGATACAGTAACGAAAATCGAGTGAATGAATGCATATACAGTAAAGGCCATAATTCGCTATATTATATATTTTTTTCATTCGTTTCCGAAATTTATCTTTGGTTGCTAATAACATTGTTGATGATGACAGCGCCGGTGAAGTCATTGATATTAACATCAGCGTTGGTGACATCAGTGCTGATTGGTTATGTCAGTATTAAAGACATTAGTGCCCATGACGTCAGTATTAGTGATGTCACAGGATAATGTGTTTATATCGGTGTCGATTTAAGCAACCTGAGTTACACGTCATGGGAATACACACCGTTGCGTCACGACTAATTGACCGTCATTGTTTCAATTCTACTCAGTGTTGCATACACGAGATTACAGTAAGCAAAACAAAAACTCAATGTTCTCTGTATTTGTCCCTTAATTCTACTTTTGTAACGATGTAAAAACAGTTGCAGAATAATTTTGTTGCATTGTTTTCAGTAAATCGTTTCTTTTTGTCCTAATATTTTGTTAAGTGAATCAGATGTAATGTAGCGAAAGTAATTGTGACCCAGTGTGGTTAATCAGGTCAGTTAATGAAGTTCATCAGGTCACCGTGGGACATATGAGCCATCAGATCACTGTTATCTATCACCATCATCATCATCATCATCATCATCGTCATCATCATCATCATCATCATTATCTTCACCATCATCATTCATTCTTCATCTGTATTACATCTTCATCATCCATCGCTCACCCTTATGTCTACTTCCCTTCTTTCACTAACCAGTCACTGTAATATTCACCTCACCTACTTTTCCACTTTTCACAAATTTAATTGCTCCTAAAAACCCTCTACAAGTTAATTTACACACACACACACACACACACACACACACACACACACACACACACACACACACACACACGCGCGCGTGCACAAGCGATAAATGATAAAAATACAGGTACCAATGACCAATAATAAGGGAGGGATGAGGGTGTGGTGTGGGGAAAGTTGAATTAGTGTGGACAACAGAAGGTGACGTTATGCAGCTGCAGGTAGGTCAGCTATTGTACCTGAAGGACCTTGTAAGACTTTGGTAACGTGTGAAAGGAAATACTAAAGGTTCACGTATTATGTATAACTATATAATAATGCATTCGTAATTACCTCATAAATAAAAGAAGAGAAAAAAGAGTAACTATGAGGTCAAAAATAGAGTAAGTTTATTTTTGTTCGTATATTTTTTGTTTGTTTGGTGGACATCACTAGTAATTTATTGGGTGATATAAGTTATTTCGTGTTTTAGCTGCTCCTTAACTGTTCTTGCTGTAATCTGTAACAGTTCTATTTTCGTCATAAGTAGACAACTATAATTACTTAAAATCGTTCTTGTTGAAATCTTTCCAGTTTTAGTCGATTTCATCATCTCCGTTACTCCACTACTTTTCTGGGACACAGTAATTACGTTTCTAAAGGAGTCATTGTCCTTGTACACGTGTTGGTGAATAGACAATAACAGCCATTATTATTATTTGTGTCGAAAGAAACACAAATGGCACCTAATTGACTAACGGAAGATAAACCATTTGACCTCGTGTGAACGTTGATAGTATGTAAAAAAATAAATAACACTATTGGAGGATGAGTAACCAGGAGAGTCGAAATATATATTGAGAAAAAGAACAAATTGAATATTTTTTTATATAGTCATAATTTTAGATTAACATAATATTTCCTTAAATTAACGCTGTTGTACGATTGAATATTAATAAATATATTGTATATGAATGTAACTATTAACGTGTTTTAAAGATCAAGAATGAACAGGGAGGTTGAATATCTCAGGTGTAATTCATCACTACACCTCAGTACTTGTGGATGGGATCAGGTGACTACTGACAATAACACCAGGCGAAGTTACAAGGTGACTATGTTGAGTAGTGCTTGTGGTGAGAGAGGTGGTGCTGGGGCAGAGAGAGAAAGGGATTCCTGCACACACACACACACACACACGGAGACCCACACACACACACACACGGAGACCCACACACACACACACGGAGACCCAAGTATAGTGTAAAACATGGACGCACGCGTAAGCTCACACACATATATCTAATATATACACAAGACCATAGGCAGATATACACACATAAACACACACACTCACCCACAAACTCCCATCCACCGATTATAAACACCTACCCACCTATGAACAAAAACACCCACCAACCTATAAACAAAACACCTACCCACCTATAAACAAAAACACCCACCAACCTATAAACAAAACACCTACCCACCTATGAACAAAAACACCCACCAACCTATAAACAAAACACCTACCCACCTATAAACAAAAACACCCACCAACCTATAAACAAAACATCTACCCACCTATAAACACTCACCTACCCACAAAAACACCAACCTACCTACAAACGCACACCCACTCATCATTTGTTGGGAAACGAGGCGGATCTTAAGATGTATGGAAGACTCCCAGATAGGTACTATGGTTGGGAGGCCAATAAATCCCCCTTTCTAATTCTTTTAATCCATTATTCCTACTAAATCATCCTTCTCCTATGATTCTTGTCATCCTCCTCCCAATCCTTAATCCCTCCTTCCCAAAATAGTCTCCTCCGCGTCGCCACCTCCTTAGGCTCCTCCCTAGAGAAAGGAGTGAGTCTCCCCAGGTAACCTTCACAGCCTGAGGGCTCACAGGTGTAGTGCCTCGGCCAGGTACACCAGCTGACCATAGCAGAGGCAGAGAAAGGAAATAGGAGAAAGGGTAAAGGAGATAAAAGGGAAGATATACTGATAGAAATACTAACAGAAAAAACAAACTATAGAACGTGGAATATAAACATACGGTGACGAGGGAGAAACGCCTATCTTAATTGGAGTACATGTATGTGTTGGCTTGTGAATGTAAATTGAAATACACACACGGCTGGCGAGACTATCTGGTGACGCAGGGTTTGTTTCCACACATATGGTAGTCAGAAGAGAGGGCGTATCTACTCAACAAACATTTTTTTTTTAAGGAGGAGACGGCTGGGGGCGGGGGGTCTATGGGGCCCTGCTTAAGGATAAGGGTGTGTGTTTGAGGCCATAGATAGAGGTGAAGGGTGGAGTATTTGTCAGGTCGTAGGCGGGGATGAAGCAGGTTTGTTAAGGGGTCGTAGACAGAGATGGGGGGCAGGGTATTTAAATATGGGCTGAAGAGGATGTAATTTAGGATCATAGACAAAGGTGACGGAGACTATCTACAGAAGTTCATAGAGAGGAGTAAGAGTGCATCAGTGAAGTCGTAGGGAGGGGTAAGAAGGGTCATCTATGTGATCATGCGTAGGTAGAAAGAGAGATGGGAGGGAGGAAGGGGCAGGCCGGGGAGGGGTGGGGGGAGGCCTATCCGTGTACTTGCCCATATAGGTATGTTAGTGGGGGGTGATGGTGGCCTGGTAGAATAGATCGAGGAACAGGGATATAAGGCAGGGAGGGAGGGGCATTAAGGGAGGAAGGATCGGCTGGTGTTGAGGAGGGGGTGTCGTGGGGTCGGCTGGTGTAGAGGGGTGTCGTGGGGTAGGGGGGGTCGTGGGGTCGGCTGGTGGTGTGGGGGTCGACGGCATGTTTGCAGACACAGTTATTATGTGAAAGTTAAGTCGGCTGTCTCAAGGCCGGCGTCGCCTCCTCCCTCCTCCATCCCTACACCCCTACCACCTGACTGTCTCTCACTTACTTCACACCCAGTTACTTCCCACAGTCAGTCAGGTCATTAACCAATCATATCACTAGCCAGTTAAAGAAGTAACTAATCATGTCATCAGCCATTCAAGTCACTGGCTAGTAAGCTTATTAGCCAGTCAGATCATTAGTCAGTCAGACCACTCGTCAGTTAAATCACAAGTCAGATTACTAGCGAATGACACTGATCCTGTGATGTAATGATCAGCATGCTCGCCTTGCAAGCGATCGGACCCGGGTTCGATTCCCGGGCAGGGTGAAACTATGGGCAAGTTTCTTTGCGCCATTTGCCTCTGTCTACCCAGCACTAATTGGGAATTTGGATGTTAATCGATTTGCGGATCGTATTCCGGGGTAATGGTTAGCCAGTGCAGTTGGCGAGTTGTCCGGTCTTCCCGGACTATTCCTTGACACTGGGTCATGCAACTCGTTAACTCAGGGTGTGGTTGTTGCGTTGACGACAACTTCTTCACGTTAAACAAATTCACGCCTAGGTGGCCCTAGGGCCGGCCATCCTCGTTACACGAGAGGCAACCATTACTAATCCTATATTTACAGATCCTTCGTGTTACTTCATCTTACAGATCATTCTATTATGATAAAGACGAATTTCAACAATCTCGTGTCGCTTTTGTGACATTTATTCAGTGTTATTTTTACTTAATGTGACATTTCTCTCCCACAGTTTGAGACCAGAACTGACCCTTCCTTGTATTAAAACAACACGTCACTTCTACCTTCGACATTAAGGTAAGTACTTGTTAATTTCCCTCTTAACTGTTGAGGTAAATTACTCACCTGGTTAAGCAATGTGACCCAAGTGTTTGTGATACAAGTGTATGAGATTTCAAGTCTACAGGGAAGCAGGTGTGTTGTGAAATAGGTGCATAGTAATGCTGGAGTTTTTCAATGCATCTGTTCAATAATACACCTGTGTGATGATGAAGGTGTGTTCAATTACAGCTGTTTGATAATGCAGGTGTGGTGCAGAAGTGTTGTGATACAAGTTTGTGTTGGTGGAGATATTAAGTGCTGTAGATGTGTTTTTAAATATTTTTTATAATGAACCCGTAAAGGAACGAAGAAGTCTTTTAATACAGATATTTAGTACCAACAACTCTGTGGTGAGTAACTTCTCTTAGCTCCATAAAACTCACAAACTTTTTTCTTGTGTTTTAGTTATAAAGGTGTATAATTCCTCTTAGTGTGCACATACCGAGGCAATCTTGGGCAAACTCACACTGTTGCCAATATCACACTAAATAATCCCCCACCGACTCACCACCTGTTATGAAAAAAAATATATATTTCAAGGGTTAAAAAGATATACAGTAAACAAAAACACAAAATAAATTGATATTTTTCAGTTCCTACGACAGCTGACACGGAAAAAGAAAATCGGTTCTAATCTTTTTCTACAAAAACGACACGAAGGAAAATCAGATCACGGCAAACGCTATAAAAACGAACATGGAAAGCAATCCTGACTCCAGTGAGCTGAATGTGATTGTCCAAGAAGAACAAGACTCCAAGTAAATGGCATCAGATTCAAACAAGATTGAATGCCAACCAGTACATAAGGGATCGAACCCCCGGGAATACACAGGCAAAAAATAAATAATATATATATATATATATATATATATATATATATATATATATATATATATATATATATATATATATATATATATATATATATATATATATATATATATATATAGTATATATATATATATATAACAAATCGATTGCACAAAACAAAAATATATTGCGATCCAGACATGAAAAAAGGGGAATTCGATTCTATTTCGTATGAGTGTGTCACGTCTCTTATAATTAGTAAACCTTATTACGATGTTTGGTGCGTATTATAAGTTTTTATCTAACAACCAAAGCAGGCAAATCAAATAAATGTGTAAATAATTATCTGAAAAATATATTAATTACCTAAACCCAAAGAATTATGTAATTATTGCTGATTATAGATACTCACTCATACCTGTCTTATAGGTCATAATTATCATACAGGTTACATTACAATAAGCAATAAGCCTGACCCATCCTGTCACTGTAATCACTTCAGCATCTTAGTATTCTTCACAAGTGTCGACGATTGTCGAGGTCAAGGAGTACACACCTTTTTAGGTAGTTAGGTGTTAACCATAAGCTATAGCTTGGCGAGATTAGGATCCACTGGCTAGCTCTAATAATGATGAAACAGCGTGATTACAGAGTTGAGGAAAGACTGTTGTTGTGTAGATAATGTAACGATGGTGCGCATATCTCTCTTCTTGTTGATAGTTATTGAATGCACGTATTAAGCATATACTGTGTTTTCACCTGCACAGTAATTTAAGCCAACAGGTGTAGAAAATAAAGTGTAAAGTAACTGACTAAACTAATCATACGTAGCACTTATTGAACGGTCATACATAAATACACTTGTGTTTATACATCAAGTCACGTGATAATAGTGTAATAAAAATAACTCCTTTTCTTTTGATAATGAACCTCTTAAGTATTGTCCACTAGCTTTAATTCCTATGATTACAACCCAAAGATGCTTAACTATATATAATATTAAAAATAATTCAATTATTAATAATTACAAGCGAGAAAATAAATCGGTTTGAGGTGGATTTGTATAATAATATAAACAGTATTTGTTGTAATATCGTAACTAGGTGAACTTGATCAATCCAGATTTATTGTTCGACCTCTGATATGATTAACTAATATATTAATTACAGTAACTATGTTCTAGTGGTAGAGAGATCCACTCGCAACCTGATGGTGTGTGTGTGCGTGTGTGTGTGTAAGCCCCCTCTGAACCTGACAACATGACACACTCATCTAGGGGCCAAAACTGTAATAACTGTCTCACAACTTTCCCAAGTGTGTGTGTGTGTGTGTGTGTGTGTACAGGTAAGTGTATGTAATTGCATATATGTATGTACAGTATATGTGTATTTCACTGAACCGGACACATAACTCCCCTAGAGCGTTCTCCACACTCATAGGAGCGACACCAGATCGTTAGTAATGACTCGCTTCACATCATTGACCTAGAGGGAGAAAGAGGGAGAAGGAGAAAGATAGAAGTACACAGAAGGTATATGAAAGATTGAGTGAGAAGGAAACTAAAAGAATAGATTTTAATTATATTCGTATTTCTAAATAATCTCATCTAACACTTCCAGAGATTTAGAAAAGGAGAAATTAGCCAGGTGGGCCAGTCACCCATATGCTCATTAATATTCCTCTGCCAGCCATAGCATCACTGACCGTACCTCTGTACAACGCAACCTCTTAACCTACTTAACTCTACATATTTCTCATCACATGCCTACGTTCACAACTAAATTACCGCAACACGGGAGAAGAAACCCGAGTATAAATTACCTTTAACATTTTGGATAACTATAAAGGTAAACGGAAGAAGCTTATCATTTACAGTATGGGGGTCGGATGAGTAACAGAACACACGGGGAGATGTCATTCAAGATTAATGTGGAAATATAAGATTTTTTTTTTACCTGTTCTAAGGGACTAGGAGATGGTACCAAGCCACCTGGTACATAGAATAACAAAAAGACAGAACTTGGTATAATGTTAATGAACATTTCAAAACAATAGCAATAGTAGTACTACAATGATACCTCCATGGACACAGGTACTCGTGACGTGTCCGTGTAAGTGTATAGAGACTAATAGCCACGTACCAATCAGCAGGGAGCAGGTGTATAGTTTACGTGTGTAGGGAAGCCGTGTCTTGGGTAATTATCTTATTAATGTTCTGGCGAAACTTCACATCGTTTTCTCCTGTTCTTAATAGTAATCTCGTTTTCCACAATTTCCTTACACTAGACGTAATAGAAGAGTTAGGATTCTTTTGAGTTGAATAATGATACTACTCTGGGAAGATATTGGAAGCTTAATGTGCTGTCTAATGGTAAACCTGCTTCCATATGGCAACACAAAAATTGTAACCAAGTCCCAGGTTGCTGATCTGACTTCCTGCCTTATTTACACACACTTGCGGGGTCTCAATTGTTTCTATTACTTTGACAACACAACTTACATACTGTTGTGAGTCATTAACCTTGCCCTGGTGGTTTAATCACATTAAAAAATAAATAAAAAAATAAAATCGTTCAACTATTCACTCCTCTCTTCTGACATTATGGATAGTGCAGTAAGTTACTTTTTCCTTTAATGCAACATTCCCAATATTCTTGTAGCTAAAAGATACACGTATTCTCTATCGTTAGTGTTTAACATATGCAGGGAATTCTGAAATGTCTACGCTATGTCACAAGGTTTCCTTATAATAAAAAGTTAGATTAAAGACACCAATACTAGTTAATATATACAGCACGTCTCAGCCCATTCATTTGTACGTATGAGTTACTGGTGAGGCTTACTTCTTTAAATTGGTCAAAAAGACAAAAAATACAAGTTTATCTATACTGGTGTTCAGGTGTCCACATACCTGGGTACAGTAGAATAACGAGACGAAAACCGAACAGCACACATTTTTGGATACTGACTTCTCTGTTAAATTGTTAAAAGTGTATAAAAACTTGGTTGAAGGTCTGAACCAGGGTATTGCTGTACGATATCTCACGTATATCGGTTGAATTAGAAGGGAAATCCCTAAAGAATAGGTGAACTTTGACCGTTATAGAATTGCCAAAACTTTGTAACTATAGTTTGTTTTTTGTTCGGTGCTTTTAAGAATTAATTCTTGGCAACTTTCATCTTAATTGGAATAGATTTATCTGACCAGGAGCTTGATTTGTGGATCTTAACTTCTGTCTCCCATAAAATCCTTAATAGGACCATATTAAAAGGTTAATGTAATAAAGGAGTCTGGGGTTATTGGACCAAGATACAAGTCTACCAAATTTCAAATTAAGTTGATCCAAACGTGAAGGAATAACGATCAAATGTTTATTGTTTACAAGACAAAAGAAAGAAGAAACTCAGTACAATTATTCTGTCTCTCTCCTACAGGGAACACATAAGTACGATGCATATTGTTCGTATAAATGATGTTGTTAAGTGAGCCGTTTATAGTCGAAACACCATTAGTCTTGGTATTACAAGCCACTAACAGGATGTTACGTTAGAAGAGAGTCATGTACACCTACTGTGTACCATGACTGGCTGCTTGTGTGTGTGTTTTGACAGTCCCCCTCCTTGGTGGTCTTCTCTCTCCACGTATTTGGGATTCAAGTTTCTCCTTTCTTTTCTACCCACTCTCTTCATTCCTTCGTTTCTTATTTTTTCTCCCTGTCTCTGTTTTTATAGTGTAGTTAGATACAATGATATATATATATATATATATATATATATATATATATATATATATATATATATATATATATATATGATAAAATCACACGGGAAAAGGGAAACAACGGAGCACCTTAGCTTTCGTCTTTATTCAAGACGTCTTCAGTTGCCTCTGAAGATGTCTTGAATAAAGACGAAAGCTAAGGTGCTCCGTTGCTTCCCTTTTCCCGTGTGATTACTACTATACTATGCACACTGTTGTGTCAAAACTTTGAAATTTATTTCCTCTGCTAGATAACACTTGAGGTCATTACACCAACAAGTTATTTCATTATTTCTGTATCTCTATCGTATTCGTTTTTCTTCTTTTCGGGAGTCATATCGACAGCACTACTTAAAATGATTTTCACTCATTTTATTTTCTCTCGCTGAAACATTCCGTGATGCAC